CCCTATAAAAACAGCCTCGGATTCTGAGCCAGTTGCCTCTCTAAGCTATTTTGCTTTGGAAGTGCCATCTGGCCAGACTAATAAAGGTCTGTTTTCCAACTTGTCCGGTGTGTTCCTTCCCGGGTGTTCTTTGCTGTAGTCAGCTCCTTGGAGCATTTGGTAAGGCTCTTGGTCTCACATTCTGAAGGCACCGCTGGGATTCCTGGGTGTGCTTCACTAGTCAGCTCCTCGGAGCATTTGGTAAGGCTCTCAGTCTTACATTCTGAAGGCACCGCTGGGATTCCTGGGTGTGCTTCACTAGTCAGCTCCTCGGAGTGTTTGGTAAGGCCCTCGGTCTTACATTTTGGAGGCCCCAGCAAGATCCCTGGGTAAAGAACCCCAGTTCAGCCGAGGCTCTGTGGCGGGATCCAGCAGGAGACTCAGGCACAGACCTCAGAAAACCTCCGGAGGTAAGTTTTTGGCCAGTTGCAGCCGTTTGTTGTCAGGAGTGAGGTGGCTGATGGGCCAGTAAGCCTCCCCTGACCCCAAGGTTCCTGACAAGGAATAAGGGAAGGTTTAGTTTTGCTTTTGTTGTGGCACCTGTTTGTCTTGTCATTTGTACGTTAGTGTCCTGTCTGTTGTGTGTTTAATTTTGTATTTCTTTCCAAACCATCAGGACAGAGATGGGAGGATCCTGCTCCAGAAATACCCCATTGGATTGTTTTCTCACTAATTTTAAATTGGCTTTTTCCCCCGAACAGGAGAACAAATATAGGGTTAAATTTTCTCACCGAAAACTTCGCTCCCTGTGCCAATTGGAATGGCCAGCCTTTGGAGTTGGATGGCCAGCTGAGGGCTCTTTTGACCCAGGTCTCTGCAGAGCGGTATGGAAAAGGGTCACCGGGCACCCTAGCCATCCTGATCAGTTTCCATATATAAATATCTGGATTCGGGCTTGTCAAGAGCCTCCGGCATGGTTGCAGCGTTGTTCCCTGCGAACAAACTCTCTCATTCTGGTTATGGCCCCAAGGGAACCCCAAGAGGCCAAAACCCGGGCTCCCAAGCCGGTGCTCTCACAAGATCCTGACCCCTTAGATCTTGTTATAAGACCTCCACCCTATGTGGAGCCATCCTCCTCCTCTGATAAAGCCAGGCCCAGAGCTCAAAACTCTCTCTCCCCCTCCTCTTCCCGAAGAAGGAAAATCTCCAGATTCTATAACCTCCCCATCCCACACTCGAACAGGGGCCCCTTATGGTCTCAGCGGAGCTCTCACTGAAGAGATTAGTTCAGTTCCTCTTCTGCCTCTTAGGGAAGTAGAACAGGGTCATTATGTCTATATCCCTTTCTCTACCAGTGATCTGTATAATTGGAAACATCAAAATCCCCCCTTTTCAGAAAAACCCCAGGCTTTGATCTCCCTCCTAGAATCTGTTTTTCATACACATGACCCAACCTGGGATGACTGTCAACAACTTCTGCAAGCTCTTTTTACCTCTGAGGAAAGAGAAAGGATCCGAGGGCAAGCCATAAAGTTGGTGTTGGGGGAACAGAGGGCCCCCTCAATGAGCAACAGCGGGCCCATCTTGAGGCACAACTTCCGTTCACCCATCCCCCGTGGTGAGCTAATTCCTTGGGCGGGAGAGAAGCTCTCCACAACTACCGTCAGCATCTCCTAGCTGGCTTGAGGGGAGCCGCTCGAAAGCCTACCAACTTGAGCAAGGTAAGCCAAGTCCTTCAAGGACCTGAGGAATCCCCTTCTGCATTTCTGGAGCATCTGTTGGAAACATACTGTACGTATACTCCAATTGACCCAGATGCCCCTGCAAATCGGCAGGCAATTAATTTGGCTTTTGTTACTCAGTCGGCCCCAGATATTAGAAAGAAACTGCAGCGGATGGAAGGATTTGAGGGAGAAAATAGGGAAAAGTTGATGAGTGTGGCAATGAAGGTGTTTAACAATAGGGATCCTTTTGAGGATAGAATGGCTAAAAAGATAGGAAGGGCGAACATTGCAGCCTTGACAGATGGAGGTTTTATCCAAAAGGAATACAGAGAAAATAAAAAAGAGGATAAAAGTAAAGTATGGTCCTTGTTAGAAAAAGATCAATGTGCATATTGCAAAGAAAAGGGCCATTACAAGAGGGATTGTGAAAAGTTAAAAAGAGATCACCTTATAGGATGTAATACATCTTATAAGATATCACAGGGAGTACTCATGCCTTTCATGCCCCCTGTTCAAGGGATTTTAATTATCCCTAATGTCTTTGGAGACACGGGCTCTAATGGCAGAAGTTCAGACACAATGGTGTCCAGTTGTGATTCACTGTGTACTGGAAAAAAACGCTGCCCTCTTCAGTGTCTCCAGAGAGAATCAGTGGTGCTCAATGGCCTGCTGGAGTCACACAGCTGAGCTCTCTACTCAGACTGAGAGCAGCCGAGGTTAGAGGCGGGCCTTGGGATATTCAGGTGCTAACAGGGAAGTTTTCACATTCTCTCAACTCTTCTGCCTAAACTATGCTGTTCTTGCTTGTTGAGATCTCTTGGAGCAAGGACTAGAATGTTAGTGAGTTGACCCCACCATACTTGCATCAATAGACTTGGGATTATGTCTTAAAATATTCTCCACCTTGGTGCTGGTGTGGCCTACAGTTGGTAGTAGCTAGATAGGTAGGTAGTTACTTAATGACCAAAGAGAATCTACAGAACCATCACCTCAACCACAGCCAGGACCTTGACCATGACTTTCAACCAACCCTGACCACCCCACCATCTTCTCTCACTTCAGTGCTGCCTCTACACAGAAGAGGGTTACCTTGAATGCTGAATACATCATCTTTTTTGTTTCCTTTTTATATTATTTGGTTTTAACCATGTACATTCCTAGAAGACATTAGTTTGATTGTAATTGTCATAACATTATTTTTAAGGCATAAGACTTCATGCAATTTTTTAATTATTGTACTTATGATTGCACTACTAAGATTCATTCATATCATATTGCATCCCACGATACTGTTTACTAATTGGCTGTGTAATAGTCCATGGCCACTCGGGCAATGTAATGTAGTAGTCAGTCTCACCGGGCCAATCTGTGCACTCCCCTACAGCAGGCCTCTTTCCATCTTGTGCTGCTTTGAATGGAGCTGTGCCTGTGTCCTTGGTGCCTGTCCTGAGTGCCTCTTGGGTCCAAGACTCCTCTCTGCTCTACAATCATCCGGGAACTCCCCACCCACCTTCTTCCCATGGAAAAGCTGAGGAGTGTCTCCAAAACTCACCCCACTGACAGTAGCACAGAATCCGTCTCCAGGGCAAGGAAAAGGCACATGTTGTGGTAAGAATCTGTAAGAAAAAAACAGACCCAGGGTGGCCCATGAAGAGGGCCCAGCATTACCCCCACAGCCTCATGGAAAGCAGCCGATATGTGGGCATGGGTGATGTCTTGTCTCTGTCCCTTCTCTGGTCTCCTCCTACTTTGGTGGGCTCTGCCTGGGAAGAGCCAGACATCTGCCCCAATCTCCTGAATGTCAAGGAGGGAACTACCTTGGGGCTCATCTGCATCGATTAATTTTACATTGGGGCAAACTGAAGACCAGGAAGGCTTAGGGATCTGAAATGGAAAAAGTCAATTCAAGTCAAGCTGAGCATGCTTGCTGGGATTAATAATTTTGTGTATTTATATTGATGAGGAAATAAGCAATGGCTGGATAGGACATGTTATGAATAGGGGGATTCATCTGAAGTTCTAGAAGGTGGGTCCCCTGATGTGAGTAGGCTGTGCTGCAGGCCCAATACTGGGCTTACATGCACCTCTGCTCACCCTTTCCCAGCCTCTGCGCTCAGCACAGAGGCACCAGGGAGCCTATCCACCAATCTGTAGGGCAGACCCCAAATCCTGGTATCAGAGTCTCTGGGTAGGAGGTTAGGAATCAAGATTTTCTAAATCACACCAGGTGATTCCCATGTTCAGAGGAGCCAGGGAGAGGCCTTTGTGGAGGATACAGTGAGGATAGAGCAGAAACAGACGTGGACACACCACACTGAGAGGTCTGCTGAGTCAGGGGTCAGCACCTACGAGAAAAGTCTGCCCCAAAGGTCTCAGCCCCTTTCACATTAGATCATCTGAGACAGGTCCTAGGGGCCCACCCTAGACGGGGACTCAGTCAGCCTGGGGGAGAGCAAGAGTGAGTGTGGCCTTAAAGCTCCCAGGGGAGGTTAAAGAGCCAAAGCTGAGACCTCTGCAGGCCATGGCCTGGGCCCTGCTGACCTGTCCAGCTTCACTGCCAGCTCTGCCACCCTAACTTTCTTCTGCCCTCAAGGCCCAAGCTGCTCCTGCTTCATAGCTCTGTCCTGGCTGCCCTGCTGCTTAGACTGAGCAAGGCCAGGTTAGAGTGACGTAAATGAGGCATCCACCGTGGGTGCAAACTCCAGGGCACCAGGACACTCAGCCTTCCAGATAATATATTGATGTAAAAGATTAAAAAATCCAAACTAATGCTAAACATGCTGCAATGAGCAAAATAAAGTTTTAAACAGGCTTCTACTTTGCATTTGTAAAAGCCACTCAGCCCTGCATCAGTTCAACTTAGTCTGTTACATTTGTATTGTCTCTTTAAATACTGGCCTCAAGTGAAGAATCAGCTGTCCTGATGACTGAGGATTTTAGTGCCCCTCATGTTAGAGCCTGAGGCCCATGCCTCCTGGGCTGTCCCAGGTCCCCGAGCTGGCTTAGAATGATACGCCTCCTCTGTAGTGCCAACTGTCCCTCATCTCCTGGGCCTGGGCTTCTACCTTCTTGAAGAGACTTGGTCTAATTAGAGGAACCCAGTCCACCTTGGTTTATCGCCATGTGAAAATGCCCCCTATGTGAATTCTCCTGCCCAAACTGTCCAGTTCCCTCATTGATGGACAGGCACTTGAGGTTAGGGCCTGAGTCTTTCTTCTACCTCTCTGAGTGCCTTGTGCATGGAAAGGGTCTAACAGTAAGTGTTCAGCAAATATTTTCTGGCCCATCTTGTTTTTACCTTTGGAAATTACATCCTCCCTGCACACAGGATGGCATCTAAGGGAGCATGCCTTGGGGCTTCTGAGAGTGAAGACCATTCACAAGGATAGGACCTATGGACAGGATGTGTTTGTTCCCAGCTAACATCTGAAGGAGAGAGAGTGTGGACTTATTTTTGGTACTGCTGAGGATGGAACCCAGAACTTTACTCATGCTAGGCAAATGTCCTGCCACTGAGGTACACCCCAGCCTTGGGGACATCTTTGAGGCTGAGTGAGCTGAAAGTGCAGAGAACCAGGTAGAAAGATCCTCCTGGAAGGGAAAGGTGTAAGCAAAAGAAGGTGGGTTTGTATCCCATGGCCCTACAGAGCTAAGGACAATGCACAGGTTGAAAGTCACTCTGGGACAAACAGGATGGGCCAGTGGCCATAATGTGAGTGGAAAGAGAAGGAGGAGTCAATAGCTAACGCTCTAGCAAGGGACCCAGACTATCACATAACAGAAACCATTGCCCAGAAGCAGCAATTCCACTAATTTAAGTGAGTTCCAAGCCCTCTCTTGGCTCCTCTGAAGAAGCTCCTAGGGCTGATTTCTTTGACTCACTTCATGAGATTCTTCTGCCATCTTGGGCAAAATTATCCATGTTCCAACACCCTTCCTCTTCCACAAGTTGGCCAGCTCCTTACCCAGGCTACCCATCACTGCGGCTCCTCCATGGTAGAAAATGATGCCTCCCCGGGATCTGCAGGCTATTGCCTTGGGCTGAAACAGCCTCACAGGGATGGTTCCAAAGCGCAGGTTAGTCACCACCACTTTAGGGTCCTTTTTCTTTGTGAACAATCTGTCATGTACAAAACGGGCAACGCTGGCCATGGAGCAAATTCTCAGCTTCTCTAGTATGTTCCCCTGTTGGAGGTAAGAGGAGGAAAAGGAAGTGAAGGAGAAGTTAGGATCAGGAGGGCAGATCTTCCCCTACCATCACTGCTAAGGCTTCTCAGGTTTCTCTCCTGCCTCCTGCATGCATATTTGACTCAGTGCATCTCAGTGGACTCTGGGTTGTGTTCAAGTAAAAGCTAGGTTTTCAGGGTCCACAGCCACATGGCCTTGATTGCATAATGATATTGCTAGAATTTGAATGTTTTCCCGCTCTAAAGTTCATGTTGAAATTTCATTGCCATTGGAACAGAATTAAGAGGTGGAATCCTTCTGAGGTGATCAGGCAGTCCCCTCCCAGATACACACAATCTGCTATAGAGGAGTGGGTCAGTCACCTCTGCAGTGAGGTCCTGACAAAGGATGAGTTGAGTTCATGTTTTCAGTCTTGCAAGTACATGCATGTTTGCGTTTTTGCCAGGAGATCTTGCAAGGCACTGTAGCAAAACCCACAGCTGGTGTCATACTCTTGTCCTTCCCAACATCCCTAACTGCGAGCCAAAAAATCCCTCTTGTGGATAAATTACTTGTTCTGTGGTAATGTGAGAGCAGCAGATGAGAGTCGGAGATTGGTGTGAATTTGCCAATGCTGCAGCCTAGTTTGGGCCAGAGTGAGAAGATGACACTGAAATGAAGACTGTCGATTGTCGAAGGCATTTGACTTGCATCCTTTCTCATTTGTTTCTGTCCTGGACTCTACCCAGAGGGGATGTTGAAGCTACTTGGTCACTTGTGTCAAAACATCACTTCGGGACCGGGGATGTAGCTCAGCTTGGCAGGTGCAAGGTCCTGAGTTCAATCCCCAGTACCAGGATGGAGGGTGGGCCTTATAACTGTGAACCTGGAGCTCTGGGTTATGGAACATCCTTAAGTTCTGTCTGTGTTCAGCAGAAAGGAGTAATGTGATTATCTGGGAATGTTGGCTGTTTGCTCAGAAGGGGTGAGTATTGGCAAAGGACTACAGATAAGGTATCATCAAAAAACATAATGTGTGTTTAAATTTTTTAGATTTGTCACAGTAAAGACACATTGCCATTAATTCCCTTCAAAATGCTTGCTCTCTATTTAAGTATATTTCCATAATTCTTGCCTCTTTCTGAAGCTTCTGTGGATGTTTCCTTTGTGAGTGTTTTCAGTTTTGCTGTTATGGCTGCCTTGATACTCTGAATCCATTCAAAATATTTACCTTTCATGGTCTCTTTAACATTGACGAAGAGCCAGAAGTCATAAGTTTCATTTCAATGGGTGGACAAGGTGAATGAGGGCCACTCATCTGATGAATGGCACTGAGCAGCAGCAGCTGCACTATTTTTTTTAATCATACCTCATAAAGACACTGACGAGAGAGGACTTCCAGATGTGCTTCAGAAAGTGGCAAGAATGATGGGATTAGTATGTTTGAAGAGGGGGCATGTTTTGAGGGAGATAATGGCAATATGTCTTTTACTGTAATAAATTTTTTAAATTTTAAACATTCCCTATATTTTTTGATCACCCTGAGTATTTACCTAGTGTGTTTTTCTTTCTTTTTTTTTTTTTTTTTTTTTTTTTTGAGGCAAGGTCTCGCTTTGTGTTCAGGCTGGCCCTGAACTCACTTTGTAGCCCAGGCTGGCCTTGAACTCATGGCAATCTTCCTGCCTCTGCCTCCTGAGTGCTGGGATTATAGGCATGCGCCACCATGCCCAGCCCTAGTGTGTTTTTCAACTAATACTCTAACTGTAATTACAAGCAAGCCACTATCTGGATATTTTGTGAAATAGAACTCCAAGTTAAGACAGTTCATGTACAAAGTGAGCTGTAGTTATTTTGGATCATCTCCACAACCTAATATTTGGGGCCTATCTTGGTCCTAAGGAATAACAGGTGAGTTTGAGGCTCTAGAACTAAAAACAAAGGCCCCAAATATCTAAGAGATCCAGGAAAATGGGGCTCTTTCAACCTTTAGGGTTTCTCTTCAACCGCAGCACACCAGCTAAGCACCTGTGATGACAGCTGCTGTAGGCTGCTCGCAGGGTCTCAGAAATGGGTAAACGGGAGACGTGAAGCCCAGAGATGCTGATTTCCAGGACCACTCAGTTAGTTGGTGGTGAAGCTCAGACTTGAAGTGGTCCGTGCCAATGGTGAAAAATTCCACCAATTGTCCAGGGATGGATTTTTTTAAAAACAAATATTCCTGAACCTATTCATCTCTTTCACATGTCATCTAATGTTGTTACCAACCTAATGAGACAGATACCATCATGCCCATTTCATAGATGAAACTGAGACACAGGAAGTTTTTACAAGTGGCCCATGATCACACACCTAGTAAGAGGCAATACAAGAATATATACACTTGGGCTGGGGATTTAGCTCAGTGGCACCATGCATGCCTTGCAAGTGCAAGGTCCTGAGTTTGGTAAAAAGAAAAGAAAAAAAAAGATTATGTACACTCTCTGGCTGTAGTTGATGCATTTCACCCTTATACCTCCTCACCTCCTGTACAGTTGCCCTCAGAGATAATTAGTGTGAGTTGTTTGGCCACTTCTAGGTGCCTCCTACATGGGAAAAACCCTTCTTCCCAATTCTGCTGCAACTCTAGGTAGGTGTTGATCTCCTGCCAGCATCTCATACTGAAGCTCTGCTCAGAGTCCACCTGTAGGGCCACCCTGAAATGATGGCTGAATTTACTTATGATTTTATCAATAAATAGTACTTATGAGGTGCCTTGCCCTGTGCTTGGAGTCTAGCTTAAAGCTGAATAGAGTAGTCCCCACCTTCAAGGGACTTACAGCTGTGCAGGACCAACACCTGGGAAACAGGTAAGTGCATGGAGGGAGAACGATGCTGCACTGAAGGTGTCAGTCCCCATCAAGCACTTGGTGTGCAGGGACTGGGTCTGAAATTATTCAATCCTCAGAAAAGAGCTCACTGATTGTACTTGGTAATTGTTTCATTCTGAAGGGAGGGAGGGAGGGAATTAGTGAGGGAAGCCAGACCAGGAACAAAGGAGGGACAGAGAAGAAGAGGGAGAGAGGATGAAAAGAAGGAGAAAAAGAAGCAAAGAAGAAAAGAAAGAAGGAAGAAGAGAAAGAAATAGTGAAGGAAGCACGAATGGAAGAAAAGAAGGAAAGAAGGAGGAAAGGAAGTTGTGAAGGAAATATAGCAGGAAAAAGTCAAGGAAGAAAAGAAGGAAGGCGAAGAGAGAGAGTGTAAAGTAAGGAATGAAGACAAGTCAAAGGAAACAAGAGAAAGAAATATAGAAAAGAGGAAAGAAGGAGAGAAGGAACAAAAAGTATGACAGAAGAAAAGAAGGAATGAAGGGAGTGAAACGCATGAAAATAAGGACAAAAGAAAAGAAGGAGGAAGAAAGAAAGGAGGGAGGGAAACAATAAAGAAAGGAAAAGAGAAAGATAGTAGCACATACAAAAGTGTGTAAAATCCTATCTTGTCTGTCTTGAGGGAATCTAGAGAGAGAGAGGGAAAGAAAATAAAAGGGAAAAAGAGGGAAGGTACAGTGACAGCACCTCCAACTCACGAAGAAGCTTTCAAGAGAAAGCACTCACCAAAGTGATCACATATATAAACATGCAGTCCAGAATTCTGAACTTGACGGGATGTTGCAAGGCAGAGGGGACTTCTGTGGTGAGGAAATGCTTAAAGATGGTCCAGACGAGGAGTCCCAGGAAAAAGATGGCCAGGCCCAATGGCAGCACCAGCAACAGGACAGCCATGGTCTGAAGCCACAAGGAGCTGTTACCCCAAGAAACCAGCCTGGGAGAGTGGTTAGGAGAACCTGGCTGACTATATGGGCTCCAGCTCCACCTACACTTTCTATTCTTGCCTGACACAATGGCCTGACCCAGCCTCTTAGAAGTTAGCTAGGCAAAGGGAGCTTAAGGAACCTAGTCCCCAAGGAATACTATGATCAGGAAAGACCAAGGGGCTCGCCAAGGGGAGTTCAGGAAGCAGTCTTCCCACAAATGAGAAGGGAGTGAGTCCATAGTGTATTTCAGCTCCTGGGGATCTGAACAGGTAGCCTCATGTGGGTCACAGAGGGTTACCTATGCTGACCTTCTGACTATAAAGTAGGAGACAAGTTCAAATCCCACAACAGAATCTCCTTAGGGTAACCAAAGCAGATCTCATACCCAACTCCTTATGCCTGGCGAGTACATTACAGGTGTTTTTGAAGCCTGTTTCCCAAAATATTTCTGATCATTTCTTTCTCTCATGGAACAAAGTATATGGGTAAAATCATCCTAAACCAGGTCTTGCTACTATTTTCTGAAAGGGAATGTGAGGCTTGGTGAGGCCTAGGTCTGCCTGGGATGGTGAGATTCATATGAACCATCTCCAGGGACTTTGGAGTGATTGGCTGAGCCCTGGTCTAGCTAGATTCCCATAGAATGTAGTAGGGCTGAGTCCAGCACATAGAAATTTACAGGGGCTACATTTTCAATGTCTAGGGAAGGATTTATAGGAAGACAGATGAACCATTCCTCTCAGTTCTTTATTTGCTTAATTAAAAACACATAATATAAAATTTACCATCATAACCATTTTTAAGTGTGCAGCACCAAAGTGTTATCTAAATATATCTTGTTATGCAACAGGTAGATCTCTTGCAAAACTGAAATGCTATGCCCCTTGAACAACTCCCTTCCCTGACAACAGTGCTACTCTCTAAGAGTCTGAATCCATTTTGCCTACTCTCTATGAATGGAATTATGCAGAATTTGTGTTTTTGAGACTGGCTTGCTCCACCTAGCACATTGTCCTCATGCTTCAGCCAAGCTGTAACATATGATAAGATTTTTTTCTATTAAAAGATGGAGAGCTAGGGATTTAGCTCAGTGATTCTACTGCCTGTCTTGCAAGTGCAAGGTCCCAAGTTTGATCCCCAGTACCAAAAAAAAAAAAAGATGGAATAATATCCATTATATGTATATACCAAATTTTTACCATT